GAAGGGAAGAGGGAAGGAGGGAAAGACAGGAGGGAGGAAGGAAGGAAGGAAAGGAGGGAGGGAGGGAGGGACTGGCTTTCTGACAGTTTCTCTCCCTAAAAAAGTTATGTTGCTATCCTTATGCTGAGGCCCCCAGTCCCAAAAGCTTTAATAATTTCTCTACTTCATCTGCCAGCTGTTTCTGGCTGACCCCTCCATTCCTTGTCTTTTATGGCTATCATCAGTGGTGCCTTGGGGTCACAAGGTGTTTGGGCATTCCTCATCTATGAGTGGCCTCTCTCATTAAATTAAGTCTCTTCTCTTAGATTTCTCCCTACACACACACACACACACACACACACAAACACACACACACACACACACACAAAATAATCTCTGATTTTTAGACTAACGATAGGGTGGCTTAGATCAACTGTTCTTAAATATTTTGGTCTCTGGAACCATTTGCACTCTTAAAAATTACTGAGCCCCCCCTCCAAAGCTTTTGTTTATATGGGCTATATTTATCAATATTTAGTGTATCTGAAATTAAAATATCTTACTATGATAATGAAAGTAGCTTTTATCTCATGGGTCCCTTGAGAGGGTCTCAGAGCCCCCCGTGGTTTCCCAGAACACACTGGTTTAAATAGCCTGAAAGGACTGACCACGGAGCTGTGGTGCGGGATGGGGAGGCAGAGGACGTGCACTCTAGTCCAGACGGCTGCCGACGTAGTTGTGTGACCTTGGACAACTCATTTCCCTTCCTGGGGGCCTTATCTACAATGAAGGGGTTGGACCAGCCGAACTACCAAGGCTCTAAATCCTACAATCCTGTGACTTGAGGTGCTCCCATGAAACAGTTGGTAGAGCGAGAAGAGAAATTATTAGAGCTTTTGGGACAGGGATTGGGGGAGAAATTCCCTGGGGACTGGACTCCGTGCAAATCTATTAATGTAATTAGTTAGAGAGATGAGAGCCCTCAGAAACTCCGTGCAGTCACGCACGTTGTTTTCTCCTTCGATGCCTCGCTGGAAAAATCCTTTTCATCAATCTTGCCTCTCGAGACCTTTTTGAAGGCTCTTCCGGATAGGAAACAGAGATGGATAAATTTCATTGAAAGAACATAGTTGAGCTTTACTTCCATATATCTCTGCATTCAGGAACTGGCACAGGACGGGCGGCTTAAGGGGGAAAAACCTGACAAGATGGTGAGTTACTGTATTTTGAGCCGATCGGCATGGATCCGACTCTCGTCTCTTCTGATGAATATTAAGAAATCATGAAGCGGAGCTGGGCGCTTTGGTTTTCCTTGGGTCAGTCTTGGTGATTAATTTCACTGTGCCTCTTTCCAACTCACCCAACACGTCCGCCTTGGTGCTTCCTGCAAAACTTGGACTCCGGTCACTGGGGAAGAACCAACTCTGGTGACGTATTGGGTCCCTTTGAGCTCTGCGCCCTTCTCGATGCCGGCAGTGGACGCCCCCGCCCCACCTGTGACTCCAGACACTTCCTTTCCCGTGTATCTGAGCCCCACCACGCACACACTCACAAGGTCATCCTCCTGAATCACGCCTACTTAGATCACCCGCTCCATCCCCCCAAAATCATGGGCTTCTTTAAAGCACTTTGTAAACATTGTCTCACAACCATAGGACATATGTCCTGTAGTACCCGTGTTAGCATCCCCATTTTACCGAAGAGAAAACTAAGGTTCATAGATTTTGAGCTGGAGGGGACTGTGGAGGTCCCTGAGTCCAGCCTCATTTTACAGATGAAACTCAGGTTAATAGTAGTAACAGTGACAACAATTACCGTTTATAAAGTATCACCTTTAGAAATATCGTCTCCTTTTATCCTCACAACCACTCAGAGAAGTTTATCCTCGTTTTGTAGTTGAGGAAACTGAGGCAAATGGACGTTAAGTGACTTGCCCAGGGTCCACAGCTAATGTGACGGTGCCTAACATCAGCCGCTGCACCAGGTGGCGTCTCCGGACGTCTTAGTTTGGCATCTGGGACCCTTCTTGCTTTGGCTCCAGCCTCTCTGTGCAGCCTCAGCTCCTGTTACTCACAAACAAGAACCCGGCCCTTTCAGCTGCCCCCTGCCCATTGGGGTCTGAAAGAAAAACTCCAAGGCACATGACTAGTCAGTAGGTCCCAGTTCACTTGGGATTCAAAGAATGTTGACAGAGACAGAGAGAAGCTCACAAACTAAGAAAAATATTTTTATACTAATAACATGCTTTGTGATTAGGTTCAAGTCTGTCGGAAATAATGTTTCTTAATACAGTATTCATCTTTATCCAGAGGTGGGCTGGAGCTAGCTTGTACCAGCTTGTAAAGCTGATTGTTAAATTTTCAGTGGGAACATTCACACCTCAGAAATTGACAAAAGCTACAAACTGGGGCTCGATTTATTGTCTTATTGATTGTCTAGATTTGAGAAAGTGATAGAGAGAATGTTAATGATACAGATTAAACTTTGAAAAAGTGGATTATGTGTTTTTGGAGATCTGGTTGTTAAACATTCACTATCGCACAACTCTGTATCCAAGACATTTCCAGCATGGTGAGAGTGATGTCCAGACTGACATCGTCTGCCCCCAAGAGATTTCAGTTAACGTTTTTTGGGAATCCTCAGGGGGGAAAAATTCCTAATCATTTACAATGCAGTTCTCAGCTAACATTCCAGAACTGAGCAGCTGAGTCACTGTCCATTCCCTGCGTGTCAAACGGAGGCTGTTCCCTTCACATCTAGGTCTTAACCCTTCATCTCAGGAGAAGCCCAGGCCCAAGAGAGCCTGTCTCTCCAGGTGGGCAGGGAGGCAGCGATTCAGACCAGACCAGAGTTACTCTGGCTCATCCCACCTTTCATCCCTCTCCCTGCTGAAGGCCAGCTTCTCCTTTGGCCCTAGCCCATCACTCACCTCCCCACAGGTATTTCCAGCATCTAGAAAAGGAGAATTTCATAATGTTTTTAGGGAAAATTTAATAGGCTTCTGTAAAACTCGTCTTGATGTTTCTTTAGTGCTTGTTTTATGTAGAAAAATAAACCCAGCAAAATCAAGGAAAAGGCTTCCCTTGTTCTGACCGTCCGTGCTACCACAGCGTTCTGTGAGAGACAAGAATGTGTGGGAGGAAAGGAAAACCATTCTCATCGTCAGGAAGCTTCTGCTTTCACCAGATACAGGTTATGGTTAGCTAATTGGAGCAGGCTGCAGGTGATATATAATACACTCCATTAAGGCAGAGTATGGCTGGTTAACACAATGTTAAGAAGCTTCTGATTCAGGGTAGAGGGAGTTCTTACGGATAGACATTGAGAGAGCTTTCCATGCCCCAGGACAGGGTGCCACAAAAGTCTTAGGGCAAATAAGCCCAAAGCTGCCCTGGGACTTTGGGAACACCCTCTAGGCTATAGCACTCTTCTTCAATCCAAGATGGAGGTTCTTGGGGTCAGAGTTAAACTCCATTTCATCCAGGTTATTTGCCATTTCCTCAACATGCATTATGCTTCCCCTCTTCCCTGCCTTGCAGATATCATTTCCTCTTCTTAAACCCTACCTATCATGTCTCCACAGCAGACCTGGTCCAAGGCCTCCTTGTTTTTTTCATATGCCACCTCCTCCAGGATGCCTTCCTTGATCTCCCCCTTTTTTCAGCCCGCCCCTACCCCCTTCTCAAGAAGCAACCCCTCCTTCCTCTGTACTCTAGGAGCCCTGAATTTGGACCTGGTCACACAGTCTCTTGGACCGTAGCTATTTGTGAACATGCCTGACCCTCCAGAAGCACCATGTGTCCAAGTACCAAGCTTTAGAGAGAGACAGAGACAGAGACCAGAGAAAAAGAAAAGAAAGGAGAGGGGGAGTGTGTGTGTGTACATATGCATATGTATGTAGATGTAGATGTATATGTATACATATATAAAATATATATGCACACACAATATGTGTATATTCACAGTCTTGCTGTGTACACACACACACACACACACACACACACACACACACACACACGTTCATCTTTTGTTCCTTTACCAGCTCCCCCATCACTCCAAAGAATAAAAGAAAGTGGACTGGGGGAGGGGAACAGTTGGACACAACTAATCCGTATGTCCAAACCTCGGACATGGGGCCCAGTCTGCCAAAGACGGCAGCTCCCCTCTCACCACGGAGGCCAAGCTTGGTCACTTCACCGGCGAGGTGGTGGCTCTTTTCTTTTTTTTGGGGGGGGGGTAGGCAATGGGGTTAAGTGACTTGCCCAGGGTCACACAGCTAGTAAGTGTTATGTGTCTGAGTTTGGATTTGAACTCAGGTCCTCCTGAATCCAGGGCCGGTGCTCTATCCACTGCAACACCTAGCTGTCCCTCAGGTGGCTCTTTCCTTAGGGGGTTTGGGATCCCCTGGGAGAGCCCTCAGGTATGACTCCCGCCTTATCCCCTCCTCCTCTCCTCCCTAGCTTGCCGGCCTCCGGCTGCTTTCTGGCTTCAGTTTATTCCCTCTCGGCAAGCTCTTAACTATTTCCAGCTAAAGTGTTAGCTAATTAATCTGAGGCATCATGCCCTAAGTGCATTTCTACTTTAAAAGGAGACTGTTTAAGAGGGAAAGTCTTTAAAATTAAAAGGAATGAAAATCTAATGATGCTGTTTCAAATGCCATGCCTTCGGTGGGAGGAAATACTTTTGGACAAGGAAGCATTTAGACAACCTAGCCCTACAGAGGTTAGGGTATTGAACCTGGAGCCAGGAAGACCTGAGTTCAAATCCAGCCTCAGACAAATGGCTGGGTCAGTCACTTAATTTGTATCAGTCTCAGTTTCCTTATCTGTAAAATGAGGATAACAATAGCACCTACTTCCCAGGGCTGTAGTGAAAACCAAATGATGTGATACTTGTAAAGGACTTTGCAAAACCTTAAAGCACTGTAGAAACACTAGCTGTTATATAAGCCAGCCCCTGGCTCATAGTCAAAGACCATGTAAGTGTCTGAGCTCCCAGCTAATGGTCTCCCTGTTTTTCAGGTGGCTTCATCAGCTTCAATGGCTCCTGGAGGGTCCAGGGCATCCTGGCTATGTCTCGATCCCTGGGTGATTACCCGCTGAAAAACCTGAATGTTGTCATCCCGGACCCAGACATCCTGACATTTGACCTGGACAAGCTGCAGCCCGAGTTCATGATCTTGGCGTCGGACGGCCTGTGGGATGCCTTCAGCAACGAGGAAGCAGTGCGATTCATCAAGGAGCGCTTGGACGAGCCCCACTTTGGGGCAAAGAGCATCGTATTGCAGTCCTTTTACCGAGGCTGCCCCGACAACATCACCGTCATGGTGGTGAAGTTCAGAAACAGCAGCAAAACGGAGGACCAGTGAACTCATGCCCTGCGGGTCTGCACCCCTCTGGACTGAAGGACTTTCAATAAATTGCTTTACTTTGATGTGGTAGAAAAGTAGCAAAAACTCCTTAAAATTGTGCCCAGAATACCAAGGACAGCCCCTTCCCCGACGGTCCTCAATCTGTATCCAGCACTGTAAGGATGGAGGGGCCGGCCAACAGGACCCAGGAGGCTGGACCGACAGCTCCTCACATCTTCCTTCGCACCTTCCTTCACCAGGTTTCTAATATATATCTATATAGGCATCTACGTATATCTGTGAAGATGTGTAGCATATACAGGCATATGCTGCCCGTTTTCAATTTGAAGGTTTACTTTTAATCCCCTTTAAAATTTCTTCAGGTTTCAGACTCCTTAAGCTTGCTTTGGAGCAGTTAGCTTGGGCAGGTAGAAAAACCCACCTCGCCAAACACTCTGGCGGGGAACCGATTTGGCTGAAAGATACGGTTGTCTTGGGAAAGCCCTCCACCCTCCAACCTCCAGGGCTGTTCTGTTCCCTGGCAGCCGAGAGAGTGATTTTAAGTAATGTTAGGATCAGCTGCCTTTTTTGGTTTTGTTTTCTGGGGACTTTGGGGGAAGAAGGAAGAAACCTCTGTGGGGGTGGGATGGGGAAGGTCACAGAGTCCACTGGCAGCCTCTGACTCAGCCACGCCCCTTAATTGACGTCTTCCACTAAACCCTGCCCGTCATGTGACTGCCTCCATGCCTTTGTCTAAATCTAGCCAGGCTTCCTAGCTCCAGCCTGTCTTTACTGTCAGCAACTGAAAACCGCCCAGCTGCCCCTGCACCAGCCACGTTGATGTGTTGACTTAGCTTGCCCAGAAGCCAAGGCCATTGTCATCAGACGCCCCGGACCGCCCTCATCTCGTGTTCTCATGGAAGTTCACTCTCCAGTCGGAGAAGAATGAGCGAGGCCTCTGCAGAAGCCCTGTGTTTGTGCTAGACCTGAGATAAAAGAGGCCTTGGTTGGCAAGGTCCCCAGCTCCAAGTTAGTTCCTGCTCCTCTTAAGAGACAGTTTTTTGTTTTTTTTAGTCTCAGTGACTTTAGAGGATTGATAAGAAATGTTGATCGGGTCATCCTGGGCTAATGTTTCTGATACCGGAGTAGGTCCCAGCCACCTTGGCCCAGAGCGAATTGTACCCAAGCCAAACTCTTTCATTTTGGTTGAGAGCGAAGGCCCCTTTGCCGCTCCTCCTCTGCCCTCAGGGTCATGCAGAAGATGTGGCCGCTGGCTGGGCTTGGGTCACTGTGGTCACTCCCCCCTGCAGTGGCCTGGACATCGCTTTGCATTCCACCAAAGCTGACACGTCCCCAAGCCGGCTGTGGGTGTAGCTCGGGTCGCAGACCGAGGCATCGGGTAGTGTGGCTTCGGCAGGTCCCTTTCACATGACTGAGCAGAGACAGAGAGCCGGGCGAGTGTGGAGTCATGTTCACCAAGGTCCAAGGTATCAGGTCTCAGCAGGGGGTGTTTGAGGGGCATCAGTGGCCAGGTTGCCTTGGTTCGCCAGGCATTTTGATCAGCTGGCGGAGTGTCGGGTGGCAACTTTCCTCTCTTGCCCAGAGCTCTTTGTGTCGGGTACCCAAGAGCTTTGTTCTTTGGAGAGGGCTCACCCTTCTTCCTGTTCCTCAGTGTCTCTTGGTGCTCATATCATTCCCCTGAGTTTCCATGACAATAATTCTGCACGGCTACCCCAAGAGAAATGGGGAAGCTGGCGATGAATGATAGCCTCACAAGGTGGAATGAAGTCCTAAAGAGGCAAATTTAGGCATGGTTAGAGGGGAAACCCTTCCTCACAGTGAGAACTATCCATAAGTGGAATGGGGTGGCTGGGGGTCACAGTCTCAGAGGCACTCAGATTTAGAAATCTAGCCTTCTTCTTATACAGACAAGGAAACTGAGGCTAAGTAGTTTGCCCACCGAGACACAAGTAGTTGGTGTCAGGGGCAGATTTGAACTTTGGGGCGTTGTCTCCAAATCCAGCAGGTTCCCCATTTCTGGAGCTCTTCTAGACAACACACTATCAAAGATGTTAGAAGAGAGAGCCCTTAGCATGGAGTGAAGTCTGAGCTGGATGTTGGAAGGAAAAGAAAGATTCGGACAGGCAGAGATGAGGGAGAGTGGGAGGCTCTTACAGATGTCTTATGCGTCTCCTGGCTCCTTGCTGCTCCCCCAGAAATGTAACATGAATCCAAGAGCCCCCCTCCCTGTGCTCCCCGGGGTGTGGCTGCTGGGGAGAGGGGTGCGGGAATCAGGTCCGTGGGCTCCCAGGTGGTCCCTCGCATCAAGCCCATTGCCAAAGCATTTGAGATAGGATGGGAGAGTGAGAGGGAGAAAGCACTGCTTTTTCAAAGAGCCTTTTGGCTTTTCTAGAGGTGGACTTCTGTCCATGGTCCTCATTTGTGCCAAATTCAGGCATGGTTTCTGGTCTGTCCTGGGAGTCTGAGAATGGCCACACAGCCTAGACTTTAGAAGGACCAGGTAAGAAACCTGCCTTCCTCCTGCACCTCTGTATAACTGACACTCCTAAAAGGTGGGGTCTGGGTTCTGCTGCTGCTCAGTACTGGTCCTATATCCCAATCCATCTGTTGGAGAGAGAGCCTCTCTGGGGGATGCCTTAGAAGCAGAATTAACCTTTTGGTGTGAGCTATCTGACTGGGGTCATGGATTAAAGCTGGATGGAAAATCATCTGCTCCAGACCCCTCCTCTTAGCAGGGAGGAGACGAAGATTGAAAGAGGGGACTAGCCCAAGGTCACTCAGCTAGTACGTTTCGGAGATGGATTTGAACCTAGGTCTTCTAGCACTTTCTACCATGGCCTGCAGCCTCTCCAACAGACAGTGGATGGGTACCAAAGGTACACCTTGTGGTGATCCAAGACCCTCTGCCAGTCGTGGCTATGAGCAGGAGTTCTTGTCAGTGAGAGGATCACCAGAGCATTCTATAGAACTTTATTGAAGGTAATGCTATAGCCACAGAGAGGCCAGCCTATTGAAAACAGATCTCGCTTAATTCATTGGAACTGTAAATGGCACCGTTCTAGTATATGTGTATCTCCTCCATTCGGCCCCTATGGGCACCATGGTAAATCCAGTCCTTTTCTAGAAATAAGCATAAGGACACCCATGACTCCATTAGAGGGAGCAGAGGGAGTGCAGGCCATTCTAGAGCTTTTGCCATGGGTGAAAGATACCCACAGGTAACGGTCAATTTTTTCTTTATTCCTCACCACCCCCTCCCCCCACAGTATTTGTCCAAAAGGAAAAAAGTCCTTCCCATAACTATCACGCTGGAGAATTTAGCAGTTCTTTGGATTAGGATTATGGATTAGGTCACCTAATCCATAAAGTAGAGCAGATTGAGGGCCAAAAGGGATCTTAATGTCCCTCTTGTCCAACCCCCTCATCTCGCAGATAGAGATACTGAGGCCCAGAGAGGTGATAGAACCTGCCCACGGTCACACGTTTACTAATTCAGTGCCTACTGTGCTAGGCCCAGGTGATGCAGAGGGAAGAAGGAAGCAGTACCTGCCCTCAAAGAGCTGACAGTCTATCAGGAGAAACTCGTTCCAGTATACACAGAATAAATACAGTAAGGACAGGCACCCCTGGGATTCACAGCCAGGCCATTTGCCTCTCCGGTCCAGCCCACTTTCCATTCTGCCCTCGTGGCTAACAGAACATACTTTGTTCTCTGTCCCACCCACGTGCGCCATTAAAGGCCAGTTCTTCAGGAAGGTTCCAGAAGTAGTTTTCCTTTTTGACTCATCCCAAACTGAACTTCCTCTAACTTCCCCAGCCATTGACTCATCACACCAGTCTAAGCTACTCCGTTCCCAAGACTGGTATAAGCTCTGTCAGCTCATCAGCTACTTTGCTTCCAACCTCACACTCCAGACTCAGCATCCTGAAAGTTGCCTCTTCAGGCTCAGTGACAAATGACTGTCTTACCAGCCGTGAATAGGAGTTAGAACATTAGGATTTAAAACAAAACAAAACTTAATATTGACTTTTTTTTTTATTTTTCCATCACTCACATTTCCTTTCCCCTCCCCCAAGAGGGCCATCCTCTATAACAGAGAATAAAAGAAGAAGAAGGAAAAACAGCGGTGCGAACACAACCAGGCTGTCCGAAAAGCTTAACGATATGCAGCGTTCACAGCTTCCTGCTCGTGTCAATTCTTGAGGGCCAAGCATGGCCATTTCATTTTTCAGCATTCGGTTTTGATTCTAACAATAGGATTTCCACTGAGCACCTGATCATTTCAGCCCTAGTCCAAAGGCTTCTACTTTCTAACAAATGCAGTGTAAGGAATCAAGTTTCTTAAGATGACTGATAATATAGAATAGATTGAGAACTAATGAAATGAGCAAAACCATCAAAAAAGAGCTTAGCTTTCAGCTAAGAACACCTTCCCATCCCCGTCACTGATTTTATACATATATGTGTATTACATATATACATGCACATATATATGCATGTATAATATAAATACCCATACATATATTCTTAAATGGTTGCTTTTAGCAAAAATGTTCTCTTTCTATGTGGATTTGCCGTTTTACGATGGCATTTTATCCCTGACTTATCCAGGAAAAGGAAGATCTAAATTTGCCTGTTTAGTTATTACATGTTCTTTACAAAGTGGATAACCATACCAAGTAGTTACCACTTAGATAAATATAGGATGTAACGGTATCCTTAATCCTTGAAAGGATTTGGATGTTTTCTCAACTGCATGCTTGGTTTTTTTGTCTGTCTGGAGCGGGAAGCTTAGTTATGATTTCACGAGTTTAAGGAACTCACAGTATAAGAACTCCCACCATCAGTACACATCAGCCTTTCTTTTGTCATTTATGGTTTTTGAGAGTTGCATAGAGCATTGAGAAGTTGGATGACTTGCCCAAGATGGCAGAGCCAGTCTGTGTCAGAGATGGGATTTGAACCCAGGTCTTTGAGACTCCAAGGTTTACCCTTGACCCCTGAGTCAGATACCACCTCATGAAATCACTGCCTTAAAACCATAGAATAACTGTAAATTTTTCCCAATCCTAGAAAAGACATTACTGTTTTCCAGAGAAATTGCCGGGTTTTTAGTTTTGTTGGTGGTACTTTTGGCAAGCTCCTGAATCCGTTGGGTAATTTACTAGATTTCTAGCGCTTTCCTTTGTGTGGTGATGGCTATGAATGTGATCCACTCTGGGAACCCTCTTTCCTTGATTTTCCAGGTATCATTGAATAATTTGAACATAAATGAAATGGGGAAGTCCTGGAACTGTGTATTTAAATGGAAAATTCCTATTTCTGAATATGTAAGATGATATTATAGGGCTGCATCTCTTTAGATAGTTAATCCTCATCCCTGCCCCCAAAATCCCAACAACTCACCATATGTTCAGAAACCACAGCATCCTATGTGCAGTCAGCTTTCTAAATCCAAGTCAAGGATTTAAAGGAGAACGTGAATCTGTCTCTTCACAATCAACCTTAAGGGACTCTCATGACTCAGTTAGAGCCTCATTAAGAAATTCCTCATGGGAGGGAGCAGCAGTGTGGGAGCATGGTTCAGGCTTGGTTTCCTGTGGCCAGATTCTCTCCAGCACCTCCTTCTGACACGGACATGTGGCCATTCACTTGTCACTGGGACTCATCACCTTTAAAAGCAGATTCTCCTTATGGTCGTATGCTCACACTTCCCTTGAATGTGAACGGCTCCTAGATTTAGAAGCATCCTTTTTCTAGAGCTTTGTCATGATGCCCACAGAATCATGCTACTGGAACAGCATTATGTGAAGGAGGGAGCAGCTCGGTCATTTTATTCCAAGATGAGACCACAGAGTTGAATTTAAGTAGTGATATACCCCTCAGCTTGCCAAGGAAATAGTCACGGCAGACTTTAAAAGGTGTAGGATAAAAAACAGGAGCTCAACCTGTTACCTCTTGGATAGTCTGGGGAAACTTCGGACCCCTTCTCAGAAACATGTTTTCATCGAGTTTCCAGGAACATATAAGGGCATGTTTATGTGCCAAAACACCAGCATCCAGAGAGAACAATGGACAAATTTATGAATTAACTCTTTGTTTACGTGTTGATTACAAAAGGAAATCATTTGGGAGAGTCAGTTTCATTTAGGAAAGCAAATGCCCAAAATGAAAATTTGTCTCATGTGAAACTAAATATCACTAGTGAATTTATGTGGATTTTACATGCCTTATTTGAACATGGTCAGAACAGTTAAGTTTACCATTCCACTCACCTTTAAGGTGAGGTATTCCCCCACTTTGGGCCCCCAATCACGATCATGATGACATGTTTTTAATAATAATGAATGATTTCTGTTGCAATGTCACATCCAGTTTCACGAATGTCCATTACCCATGTGTGCAAAATGTATCCAGGTCATGTGAAATGGATCCTGCCATTAGAAGTGGGTTAAACAGGCAAATTGACTCCTTTCTTATAAAGAAGTTTTTCCATGACTTGACCTCCTGGTGATTTGGGGGCAAAAGCTGGACCAAAAAGAAGATATCACCAACAGAAAAGGCAGAAAGGAAATGCTTTTAATGGTCCACATGAATGTGGTGAATATTGTTGGCATCAACGCAGAATTAAGCATAGCCTCTCACTACATACATGGAGGCACTGTCACAAAGAAGCGTATCGGAGACTTACGTGGCCCTGGCCATGCCCATCCATAGCCTGGGGGCTTCTAGATGGCACAGCCCCCGAAGGCAGTGGGATGGGGTGAGTATGGCAGCAGAGCCTCCTTGGCTTCTCTCTCTGCAGCCGTTCTTCTGAGGGGCTTCCCTCTCTCCAGGGAAGAATCCCTACTGGACAGCCATCATAGGATCACAGATTTAGGACAAGAAGGGGTCTCAGGGGCCTTCTCGTCCAACCTCTTCATCTTACAAATGAGGAAAATAGACCCAGAGAGGTTGTGTCTTACCCAAGGTCACACAGCCAGTTATTAGCATAAGAGGGGATTCCCAAATGAGGCCATATTCCACAGAAGTACACTGCTTTCCCCTTCTCTCTTTTCTCCTTTGGGTCAACTTGTACCATGAAAAAGAATGCTTAGGTAGACCCATCCCCTCCTCCGCTTACCAGACATTTTCTGGTAAGAAGAGATGGGAAGACTATGAGGGATGGAAACAGCTCTACGTGACTCATTTTTCTTTGGTTCCCAGGTGGCTCCAAAACATAGCAAGTGAGATGAGAGGCCAGGATGGTATTTATCACCAGTGTGTCCCTGGGTTTCTCATGGATCAGTAATACAGGCACAATAAGAATGCCACTTCTAATGACCAGCTCCTTCTCTGATACTGGGTTTGTCCAGTTATCCAGACTCATTCTAGGCTTGGCATTGAGCCTCACATCCTGACCAAACATAGGAGCCACTGCTTGTTTTATTTTCTATGGCAAAATGAAAATGGAAATTCCAAACTTCGCCCCCAACCCGTCCCTGCAAATGGTGGACTTGTGGCCTCGTTTTAAAGAAAAGAGGAAGGGGCTTTGGTGAATTGGATGAACTCCTTCACCTGTAGGAATTATGATACAGGCTTTCCTTTGTTTTGAACAGCTATGCTTGTAAGGAGAGGTTTGGACTTTTTAGTTTTAAGCTAGTCATATAGGGAGTTAAAAGAAATACTGTCCAGTAGCTTTCGAGGAAAATGTTTAATGTGTGGTTAGGCATGTTTGCCAAATTCTCTACTTTTGTTTATTTGGGTGATGAATCATAGGAATGTAGATTTAAAGGTGAAATGTACAGATCTAGAGAGAGAAAGGGTCTTTCCCGTGGCCCAGAAGTAGTTAGTACCAGGGATCAGGGTTCATACCCAAGTCCTTCGGTTCCAGATCTAAGGCCCTTTCCACTGCTTTCAAAACCTTTGCCTTGCTCCCTCTCATTAAACTTCATTACCAAGACACATTTTAAAGAAATAAACAAGAGTTGCTATCTGTACGAGACTTCTATTTTCTTTTCCTTCTTTTTTAAATTGCAAGTATGGTGTAGTAGGACTGAACTCCAGAGTTCTGGCTTTGACATTGGCTGGGTGGTCTTGGGCAAGGCACTTCTGGGCCTCAGTTTCCTTTTCTGCAAAATGTCATGGTTGAATTATATTATCTTAAAATTCTGTTATAGTTTTGTGATTGTATATTTTAGGCCCTTTTATGGACTTCCCCTGTACATAGGATAAATCGGTATTAAAATATCCATCGTTTATTTCAATTATACAAAGTGAGAGAGTCAGAGATGGGATATCATCAGGAAGACCTGGGAGCAAGCCTTTCTCTGACATGCATGGTCAGAGTAACCCTGGGCACATCACTCAACCTCTGAGTGCCCTCAGAAAACTCTCTAAGACTGTAAATGGAAAAGCAATTATGGATCTGCATTGGTAGAGGAAACCTCCTCACTGCAAATTCCTTATACTGTTGAAATCATAGGACTGGATCAAAATATTAATAGAAAACAGAGGTGGAAACTAATTGGTAGTAGGAAAATTACCTGAAATATGCCAAAGTGAGTGACCTACCCTTAGCATCTTGAGCTTCGTTATGTTAGCCAAGGAAACCAATGCTTTTCTTGACGAGGACATTTTAGCTTCAGTGTGTGAATGTCTGAGAAAGGAGTTTTAGCATAGGGTCTAGTACACAGTAGGCACTTAATAAATGTTTGTTTAATCAAACTGAATTTTCTCATCTTTATGCACCATAGAATAGGGCCTATCATTGGTCAAGTATGGAAATCATTGCAAAAAATGCATTTTCAAGCTGTCCAAGGAATATCACTTCCTTTAGGGCCATGGAGTAAAGAAAGGTGAGGGCTACGGAGGGTTCCCACCCCTTTTAAGAATGGTTGGCAATTGCTACTTAAGTCCAGGATAATCATTTGCCCTTCTCAAATCTTCCTCTGCAATCTTTGATCTCTTTCCAGTTTTGCATCCTAGGAATGTAACTAAATAATGCCTGTCTTTCATTTGGAAACCATTCTAATCTTCCTCCCAGGGCTCTTGTATCAGATCTACAATCACTGAGCTTGCTTACCAGCTGCCTAGTAGACGCCAGTCATGTAGCCAGCTCACCACCAAGGCTATCTAAAGCATTTTCATGAAAGTAACAGAAAGGCTGCTAGCTTTGGAGTAAGGAGTGTTAGGTGTAACTCCCAGCAGTCACTTAGACCCTTATCCTCATTTATAAAATGAGGGGGTTGGAGTAGGCAACCTCCAAGGTCCCTTCCATTCAGTAGACTGTAAGCTCCTTGAGGGCATGGACTTAGCAGGTTCTTTTATCTCCATATCCGCATGCTATTACATGTCATTTTATGCCAATGCTTGACATGTAGCTGGCACTTAATAAGTGCTTTGAATTACCAGACATATATTACCCAATCCCTTTCCCAATCGATTCATAGTGCCAGAATCTGAAATTGAAGATAATTTTCATCAGGACCAGGAATTCTTTATCATTATAACCAAATCAGAGTAAATTCAAAGAAAATCAAATTTTTTTCTGGTTTGATCTTTTCTAAGAGTAGATGGAGCCCAATTTTAGAAGAAATTAGAACAGAAATCATACATCCTTAGGCAGTGGAAGCAATCTCAAAATGTTCTAATATCTTCTAAGGGCCAATTTTCTAATATTCAGTAGTTGAGATTTCAGAATCAAGAAGGATCTTTAGCATTTTCTGTTTATAAGAATGAGAACAGATTATTATTATTTTTTGGTCTCTGAACTTTAAATACTTGAATCAATAGTTTGTCGTAGTTCTGCCTTTTCAGGGCCATCAGCCTATGTTCAGGGTAGGAAGTTGCACAACTCTGTGCCTGAGACTTTCATAAGAAGGCTCTCTGACACGTTGGACAGTGCGTTGAAAGCCAAGTTGGCCAGGAGAACAACAATAAAACTTTGGGGATTACTTTTGTTACTCATCAGAGGGTTTTATAACAATTATTCTACATTTGTCTCTAAGAGACAATTTGAAAAAGCAAAACCAACATGTCAGTACGCCATCTTGTTCGCTGTAGCCCATTGTAGAGTGGATGGCAGTGCATGGTCCCACCATGGTAGGGAACTCTGGCCCTTCCTTTCCCATGTGTATTCCAATTAGCTGTAGAGGTGTCCCCCCTAATCCCTGTGTTTGTGCAATTTCAGATGCTGTATTATTGTATCCAAAACAATGGACTACTGAAATTTCAGCCTCAATGATATGACTCCAATGAAAATAAATCCATTAAAGTTACCTGACTTTACATATGGACTCCCCTGTGTTTCTTTTGTTCAGATTGTTCAAGGCTGCAGTGCCTGGGTGAAGCAACAATGCTGTGAGAATTACTTGGGACAAAGAAAATGTATTAGATTTAATGACATCCAAAAAACCTTACAACTTTTTTACACCTTACAATTTTTTTTAATATACAGAATGGCCTCCATTCACTTTAGAAATCACTTGTTTTATACAATTTAGCTTTGCGTTCACAAGATTCAGAGACATGTTCTAAGTCTAGAATTGGTAATAATCTATAGATCTTCAGTGAAGTTCAAATCAAGCAAGTTCTCAAGCCTTTGAAGCCTGTTTATCTCCATCACTTAAATAAATTGCTTAACTTTTCATGACATGTGGCATCGTAGAAGCATCATCTTGTAGTATTCCATCTCCATTTGGGAATCTCCACAATTCTAGAACAATTTTATTTCTCAGCAAATTAATATATTTACCAGATTTTATAATTTCCTCCATGAAGAAGTCTTCTGAGATCAATGGAAGTTTAAAAAATTTTCTTTTTTTTTTTTAAATGGGTGGTGGATGTTTTACCATGTGATCAAAATGACCAATCTTACAGACTCACCTGGATGTCTTCCGACAAGACTTTGGGTACGTTCTTGAATTAAAAAGTGAGGTTTATCAGTACAGTTAACTTTTTAAAATCTTTAGTACTCCAGTCTTTCAATTGTTTTGCTCATAACAAGCACTTTTTTTCTGTCTTACACTACAGAGAAATCATTAGCATCCCCTCCAGCTGGCAGGTTCTCTGAAGGTCCCTGCTTATTTTCTGAAGATTAATTAGGCTGTTCTGAAGCACAAGTTGGTGGTTCTTGGCATTGATTTTGGTTTTTTATTGCACTTACCTTTGCTTTTCAGAATGACTGATCTCATTTCATTATGAGCTTTAATAATGCTTGAAACCATTGACTACACCATACCAACAGCCCCTGCAATATCTCTAACAGTCACTGGAGTGTACTCTTTAAGATCTGCAACTTTTATACATTGTCTTGGAGTAACAGCCATTCTTAAAAGCCATTTAATTAAAAACTCTATAAAAGAGAGCAATGGAATATGTGTATACCTAAAATCCTGCACTCAACTGACCAAGAACTCACTTGAAGTGGCAAAGCTAGGTCAATTCTGTTTCATTTGATCAGATCATATGTTTTGAGGCCATCTATCTGGGTAGACAATAGTCAATCAATCAAATATTTAGTGAGCACCTGCTCTGTGCTAGGCATTTGAGAGGGAGCTGGTTATTAAAAAAAATGAAATACCGCCACCAACTAATGAACTCTATAATCTATATTATAGTAGTATCAACATCAAACAGAAATAGGTCTCTGTGGGCCCATGAAAACCACAATTAACATCTATATTGTATTCTATTTTTATTTATTTTGTTAAACATTTCCCAATTACATTCTGATCTGATCAGGGCAGCACCTGCCCTTCCCTCTCCCCTTTTGACATGTCTGATCTAGAAGGAGATTGAAAACCTAGAAAGAAATAACTGTAAGGTTAGCGCCAAGAAATTGTAGAATTGTTAAAGAAAATATGAGGAGAGTCTAATTTAGAATGGCAGTCAGCTTTCCCCCAAGAGCAACTAAAATTAGGCATAAGCATGTGTTTTATAAAATAGTGAGGTAACAGGTTGTGGCAGAGTGCTGGAAGTTCTGGCTTTGAATATGACTGCTGACACCTACTAGCCTGGCCATGACAGAGGGATGGCCTTGGATTGAGCTCTCAGGTGAGGGTCACAGGTCCTCTGATGGAGGCATGGGCAAAGGTCTTCCCCTTTGTGTTCTGCCTAAGAATGGTAACTCAGATTCAATGTGGGAAAGGAAATAAAAGATCATAACATGGAGGGGGGAGGCCTCAGTTATGAATATAGCTATGTATAGATGTATGCATGTGTGCATATACATATATATACATATCATCCCTAATAATCAATACTAATTCATTTGCATTCCCCAGAGCAAGAATGGAAATTTCACTTACAGACTTCTAAGAAACAGACATATCCCTGTTTGCTGAGAGATGGTGTGATACAGAGGAAAAATTCTAGATTTGGAGTTGGAGATCCTGGGTTTGGATCCCAGCTCTGCCATTTCCTGGCTATGTGACTTTGGGCAAGTCACTTAAGGTCTCTGGGCTTCATTTTCATCCTCTCCAAGTCAAGGGTTGGGAGGAATCAGCCTTGGGTAGCTACTGAGGCCTCTTCTAACTCTAAAGCTCTGACCGTAATACACTGCCCAAGAAAGGTCATCAGAAACCACAAGCCAGACACTATGCAGAAGTCATAGTTTAATGGGACTTAGGAAAACAATGGATGTGTAGAAAACAAAAGGACTTCTTAGAACCCACGAGCAAACACAGAAATCTATGGAGAAGCCACCTCTCCGAGCGTCCCTGGCCTGTCCCTCCAGGGAGATGTAGTGGGAACAGAAAAGAAGGTCAGAAACTGAAACCAGCCACACATTGCTCTCTGGCCCAGTGACGGAGGGAGGAACTTGAGTTGAGGACTCATGGGGCGGGTGGCGCAGGCCAGGGAAGCAGTGCTCAGGGCTGGGATCAGCTTCCTCATGGGAGAGAACTTCCCTAAGATGCTGCTGGGGTCTGTGAGCACTGAGGGACTAGCACAGTCAGTCCTGAGTCAGTCACACCCAACTGGGTCCCCTTGGTGAGTCCCTCCCGTTCCCTGGGCCTCAGTTTACCCATCTGTAAAGTGTGGGATTTGGTGTAGATGTCCCAAGGGTCCCATCCATTTCTGTAATTAGGGGACAGCCTTCACTAGAGGAAATCTTAATTGAGACCATGAAGAACCACAGAGAGTGAATTTCATGGACCCAGTGAGATTTGAAGGGTGTTGGAGCTAAATCACAGAATCATAGGTTTAGAGCTAAGGAATCTTAGACCCATCAAATCCAGAGGTCCTTAATGATTTGGGGGTCACGAATCCCTGTAGCAGTCTGGTGAAGACTATGAGCCCTTTCCTTCTCAGAATACTTTAAAATTAATAATACAAAACAGGTAGGATTACGAAGGAAAATACATTGAAATAGTTACCAAAACACTTTCAACAATCAGGATCACACACCCCAGATTAAGAACCCTTGCCCAGGTCCTATGACACCAAACCTAGGAGTCTTCCCACTGTGTCTGGCTGCTTCCCGTGATTTGGAGGCAGCATAACGTTGAATAAATAGTGTGTGAATCTGGAGTCAGGAACACCTGTGTTCAAATTCTGATGCTGACATTTCCTAGCCATGCTCTCTGAATCTGAGTTTTCTCATCTGCAAAATGCAATGATAACACTCACAGGCCCTAGCCTACCTCACGAGGTTGTTGTGAGGCTCAAATAAGTGTATATAATTCTGCTCAGAAAAATAAAGCTCTGTGACTGTCCACTATCAGCCAATCAACAAACGTTTACTGGGTGCCAGGCAACGGAGATTTGGAGACAATGCTGAAATGGCCTGTGCTTTAAAATCCACCAGCCCCTGCTCAAAGCCCTTCCTTGAGGCTGAGTTGGGACTGGAGCGGTTCCTGGTCCTCTGTGCAGTCAGAGTCACAAGGCTAGCTTCTTCCTGGAACGACGGTGTCCCTAGCCTACCTAGCTGCCTGAGCTGCTGCTCCTGCCTACAGGCAGAGTTAATGTTCTTCCCTCCTCATCCCGTGGGCTTCCGTGAACTGGCATAAACACTGTCCTGGCAGCTGCCCCTCAAAACCAGCATACGTGGGAGAGGCTGGAAACTGATACAACCCAGCTCCCTGGGAATCACATATGTTAAGCCTTAATCAGCCCAGAGACCAGGCATTGGCATCCCCTACCCCATGCCTGCCCCCCCCCCAGCCAGCGCCTGATTGGCCCCATTAGAGTTCAATTTCTGGGGCTCTGATCCTTATTAGACAATTCAGAAAATACTCTGATTTCAGTGGTCTGCGTTACCCTGCTACGTGGTCATCTGTTGGTGCCCCATCACCTCTGTGTCTAAAACTCTCATCAGTGTGAGCTCTAAGGGGCTCTGGGCCTTCTTGGGGACTGAGGGCGATGGAGGCCACACCCCAACGTTGCTCCCCATCGGCATCTGTTCCCTCCCATCCTTATGAGGGACAAGAACGCTTTGTTACCTGCTATTCCTGTGTGGCTCTGTCACCACACATCCAAACCATTCCCTCCCTCTTTGAATCATCACAAGCCTGTTCAACTCTTAGGGCTCTGCACTTTGCCCAGACTGGTACCCTTCCTAGTAGTGAACTTGACCAGTACCCATCTTGTGGTGAGGTGCTACCTTTGTGTCCATCCTCACCCAGGATGCCAAGCTACAATACCTGAGCAATGGGGCTGTCTGTTCTCCATAAGAGACAATGTTTTCCTCCCATGAGCTAGTTTGCATTTGGGGTGGGGTCTTTTCCTGTACCACTGCCTTCCACTGGCTGGTCTCCTGATAGCATGAGCACTAGACTGAGGGCTGGAGGGGGAAACCAGGAGGTGAGGTTTCATCAGTTGATAGTTTCCATTTTAGCCCATTTATGGACGTTCTAAGCTTGCAGGAAGGACCCTTCCAGGTGGGTCTCAGCCAGGGGTGTGCTGAAGCCATCTCTAACCAGAATGTAAGTATTAAATTTTCAGTGTGAGCATTTACACCCTGAATATCTGCAACTACTACAAATCAGAGCTTGACTGATTATGTTGTCGCTCATCTAAGACTTAAGAAAGCGATGGAGAAAAATGTTAATGCAGATTAAATTTAAAAGTGTGTTATGCCTTTTCAGAAAGCCAGTTGTTAAACATTTACTAGCACCTCCCCGCTGGTCTCAGCCCTTTCTCTCCACTGCTTCCACCAGGTGGGTCAGCCAGTTGGGAGTGAATTTTCCCAGCTGGGGCATTGAGGTTGAATTGAGTGATACAGCTCTAGAAAGGAGAGGGCAGAGGCCAAGCTGAGAACCAGGGACTGCCCAAGCAGCCAGCCTGTTCCCATGCTGAAGCCTCT